CTCCCTCAGTTTCCTCATCTGTCCAGTGGGTATAAATCGCGTCTGTACAGTACCCGGCTTCTGTGAGGCTAAAATGGAATGTCACCCTCTCCATGTTATCAGCACCATCGCCGTTGCCGCGTCACCAGCCGTCACTGTGGGCTGGGCGGCGGCGAGGCCTTCTCCTGGGTCACAGATGGGACAATGTCACCGGATGCCGACCGAGGCTCGGCTCGGTCTGGGCGGTTGGGATAAAGCAGAGAACAAAAGAGTAAACTTCCGACTGACGGGAGGCTTGTGTTTCCGGAGAGGAGATGGAAATGACACAAAATCGGGTAAAAGACGATCTGGGAAGGTGACAAGTGCTCAGAGAAAGTGAAGCCAGAAGGGGTGGTGACTCACCTCTAAGGCTCTCACCTAGTCCTCACCGCAGCCCCGGGGTAAACACGGCTCCTCTCCCGTCCCCGTGGGGAAACTGAGGTACAGGAGGCCAAGTGTCTTGCCCGGGTCACGCTGGCCAGCGGCAGGACGGAGAGCGGAGCCCGACTCCAGAGCAGTGGCCTCCTCGCCTCCTGCCGGGCCCCTTCCCCACACCCAGGGCTCAGAGGGGTGCACTGCTCCTCGCTCACCGCCTGCTCGCCACCTGCCGGGTCTGTCACCCCAGTGCAGTGCGTGCTGGCTCTGGGGCAGGGGCCGGGCAGGGGGGTCTCAGAAGAGGTGCTGTCACTGCTCGGGAGGACAGGTCCCATTGGCCAGTCCGCATGGAGCCGATGCTCCCACAGTGGCCGCTCCCCAGCCCTGGGTCAGGCAGAGGTGCCCCGACGGGCTCCCGGCACCGAGCCCGGCCCAGCACCACTGCAGCTGGACATCCATGACCGGACACAGACTTTGCAGGCCCGGGGGGGGGGGGGGGCAGGCAGAGACGGGGAGAGGAGCGACACAGATGGAGACACACAGACAGGAAGAGACGGAGACGACTTCACTAAAGCTGGGGGGCCTCCGGGGTGAGGATTGCTTCACCCATGTCCTGTGCCCCCGTGTGAGGAAATCTGCCCACGGGCGCTGGGCCGGCGGCTCCCGGCCCCTGGAAGGAGCCCATCCTCCCTGACCCTCACTCAGCCTGTCTGTGACCTTTGGCCCCAACAAAGCCCGGAGGGATGGCTCCTACTGCCTCAGTTTCTCTGCACTTGCTGCTCACTGGTCCTAAACCCCACACACCTCCCCAGAGTCTGGCCAAGCCCCACGGCCCACAGGAAGCTGCCTGGCCATTTGCGCATCAATCCCTCTCACCCCATACATTTATGTACCTCGGACTTATTCCCTCCTGGGCAGGCCCCCAACTACCCCTTCCACACCCCAGCTTCCCTTTCTCCTGCCCTGGGGCCTCACGTGGACAAAGCCTTATCCATCAAAATCCTTATTAATTGACTGACGGACCTAAGACCTTCAATGACAGAAGAAAGGACCCTAATGAATGAATTGGACGACCCTTACTTGAGCACCTACTATGTGCTAAGGAGCTGAGGATAATGTGGAACAAGGTGCACAGTGACATCCGTAGGGGAGTCCAGGGCATCGTGGGGCCACAGACAGGGGGGTACTGAACCCTACTTGAAGTTGGGGGTGGCTGCAGGGAAGGCTTCTTGGAGGAAGCAGAGGGAGGAAGAGGTGTCAGCCAGGTGAGGGGGTACAAGATTCTGGAAGTTGGGGCACAGGGATCAAGGGTGGGAGGGAACCTGGCCTCCTGGGAGTGGGGAGTGTTCGGAGGGGTGCTGTGGACTGCGCGGGGTGAGGGTGGGGAGTGAATGGGGGGCGCATTCTGATTCCTTGGTGGGCGTGTGGAAAGAGCAGAGAAATGGTGTTGAGGAGAAAGCAAGGCTGGAGGCAGGTGACTGAGAGGGAGGAGGCAGCTGTGGGGGGTCCCTCCCCTCGGGGAGGGGGGGGAAGTGAGCTGCAGGAGCAGTGGGAGAGACGGCTCACCGGGTGCTGCTGGCCCTCAGACGTGGGACCCGGGACGAGCCTGTGTAGCCACCCCAAGGCCTAAACCCGAACCTGTCCCGCACGGGGCCTCCTTATTCAACAGCCGGGGAGACCCTGGGCCTTTGAGCAGAGATCTGAAGACGAGGGTGCGAGAAGAGCATTCCAGGCCGAGGGAGCGGGAAGGGCAGGGCCTGGGCAGGCCACGAGGCCTCAGGCAGGGCGGCATCACCCATGGTGGGTTCTCTCCAGGGCTAACGGGGAGCCAGGGAGGGATTGCAGCCGCCGTGACCGTGCAGCAGGCAACGATCCCTCGCCATTCTCTGTCCCCAGGCCAGAGCAGCATGGAGGCTGGGCACAGAGCCGCCCGAAAAGGCCGGAAACTGGGCTCCAGCCGGCGGCGGCAGATCCGGGAGCCCGCTGCTGGCCAGGATGCCCCTGTGGCCCCAGGGTCCTGGCCCTCCCAGGCGGCGGAGGAGCTGCAGGGCTTCTTCCAGGCCAGTGGAGCCGCGGAGAGGGGCTTTGTCACCCGCGAGGACCTGGCGGTGAGTCAGAGGCCCGTCCCTCCCTGGTCCCTTTCCAAGGCTCCGCCACCCAGGACCGCAGGGCTCGCCTGCTC